TTTCTATATAGCATCCCATTCATCTCCCAAGCATTACTGATAAGATTGTAAGAACGATCAAGTTTCACCATCCGATTTCATCAGATTGAATGTTACAATACGCAAACCATGATACTGGATGTGGAGACTCTCAAACATTCAGGTGTGAAAGGACCAAGTGATAACAGTAAGAAAAGGAATGAGTATCTGACACCATTCTTCATTTCAAATTTCTAGTACGTACATTTCATTGACACATCTGCTTCATTAGAGAACCGAATCCCAAGCTGATCTCCAAGCCAAAAGCTCCTACATGCCAGAGTAGCAGTACACATACATGTGGAGTTTCTTTGGTATCATTTGATGGCTCTGATGCCTCTGCTAGTCTTTTTACCTACATGGTGAGTGAACTTGTTCTTAGAGATGTCTCCTCCAACTTGGTTGGCATTGCTGTCTGTTCCTTTGTCTTGAGCTGTGTGAAACGCTGGTGCAATGCAGTGCAGCAAGTGTAGTGACCTTTACGCAACTCGCAGCATCTGCAGCAACCAAAGGCTCCCAAATTGCTCCAGCTGAGGAAGAAGGAGTATAAAGTTCTGACGCACAGTCCCAGAACTCATGGTGTGTCTTTGGAGGAGACAGGAGTAGCCTGTTTCATTTATCAGAGAACATTTCAACATGGATTGCACTATCAATCTGCCTGACAGCATCTCCAACAGCTCTTTGAAATTGTGCCAGCAACAGAGCTGGGTTACCTCTGGGCCAAGGCTGCTGCAACACCTGCTTTTTCCACTTACAGTGTTGGATGAACCATCTGCAGCCAATGCAACCCTGTTTGGGTTGGTTTTTCTGTTGTTCTTTTTGCGGAGCAGGGGCAAGAAATTCATCAGTAATCCTACACTGCTCTCGACAAGTCAACAGATGGCCTAGGTACTCTGTTATCAGCCGATGCAAACGCTAGCTTGAGAAGATCAAGGAAAATTATTACCCAGTCAGACTGAGCATCAAGCACTGTTCCAGAACAGTCAGAGCAGAGCAGTCTTCACGCTGAGACATGCTAAACAGTAAAGCCCACCTTACCCCTCCCGAAGTCAACTGTACTTCAGCTACACAGAAAGAGACAAAACCCCACAGTTTCACTTGCACTACCATCCCTTGGTCTTCACCCTACGGAAAAAGGATGAAAGCACCACTGGGAGGCTGGGAACCTCCCAGGATTCTTGCTTCTGTCAGGCTCTTTCTCAGCCTAAAGGACAGAATGTATTTCAATTAGAGAGCTGATAATTTTTTGGTGCGTACCAAACGGCACAGAGGTTTTCCAGCTCCATGTGCAAGCCCTATTAGCTCGCTCAAAGATGGAGCAAAGGCTCTGTGCTGCAGCCATGGTGGATCAGGACAGTAATAAAGGGCATTGCTGCATGCAGATAACAGTCAGATGGATTTTACAATTATAAAGCTTAAATTTTGTAATGGGACTTTTTTATAACATCATGATATGGTAAGGAGGACTCATCCATGTCCCTGAATGTGCCTGAATGAAGAGTGATGGTGATGTTTCCTTTCACAGCAGCCATGTCTCTTACTCTAATTTTTGGATCCGTTTGCACTCCAGCCCATGAATACATGCTCTTACCTGAGCTCCACTCTGCCTTTCTAGAGCAGACTGCCCAAACCAAGTGAAATTCCCAGTGGGCAGCATTCCAAACTTGCATTTTGACTAATTAAGTGATATTAGTAAAGATGTAAATGGCATGCAAAAACTGGCAGGCAAACTGCTTCTAATCATTAGACAATTGCTGTACAGGGAGACCCAGCTGCAGCCTTGATTCACAAGCCTTGTCAATAGAAGCATTAGTCCTTCCAAAATTGTCAATGCCAAGACATTCAAAAGTGGTATCAAGGATATGAGGTAGGAGAGAAGGTAAAAGGCTACTAGCTTTCACCCAAAGGAAACTGCTGCCCTAGCCATACAGAGGACACACAGGGTTACAAGGTATATTTCCCAGCAGGAGTCTAATTCTATCCGACCACTAAATGCTGAAGAATGAATTAGCACAATAACCTTACAGCCAAAACCTTAAGGGCATGATGATATCCATATTCAGAGCAATGGCAGTGTAATGATGATGTAAGCCCATCCCCTCAAACAGAAGCACCCCGGACGCCTTTTCTCGATCCCTTCTTAGTTAAGGGTTGGACTTAAACTCTGAAGCACGAGGGGATTTTCACCTTATATTTATACTCACTTTTTGCACATGCTGTAGCAACTATGAATATACTTGATACTCATGTCAATGAAATCATTCTGAGCATTTCTGGCATCAGAGATATCCTGTAGCAATGAGTTCCACAGAACCTACCAAGCTTAAAGATTTACCTCTTTCTCTGTAATGGCTTGAATTCACAAACAAGGCAAATTAAGTTGCAACTTCCTGTTACAGTGAAACCCTTTGGGGACACACACCAGTCTTCCAGAGTTCAAAAGGAGAAAACAGACCATCAGTTGCCACAGAACGCCACGAAACCCCACTGCTCCAAAATGCAAAAGATTGAGTAGCACAGGGATGCATGGTGGAATGGCAATAGGTCTTTGGCATCTGCATTGTGAGGGAGTCAAAAGACGTGTCTATCTGGCATGTCAGCTACTTCCTGTGCATGCTGCTTCTCTGCAGTGAACGAAAGACAGTTAATCCCTCAATGGAAGTGGGATCAGCTTCCTTGAATCTTACCCTTCGGTAAAAGCATGAGCCCAGACACTTACTAAGCTGATGTCCTGTAACTTAATATACAGTATCTGGTTCATGTGCTCATCTCTTATCTAAATACAGCATTTCAACTTTCAAAAAAAAAAAAAAAAAAAAAAAAAATGCAGTGAACGAAAGACAGTTAATCCCTCAATGGAAGTGGGATCAGCTTCCTTGAATCTTACCCTTCGGTAAAAGCATGAGCCCAGACACTTACTAAGCTGATGTCCTGTAACTTAATATACAGTATCTGGTTCATGTGCTCATCTCTTATCTAAATACAGCATTTCAACTTTCAAAAAAAAAAAAAAAAAAAAAAAAAACATGAGCAATTATTTCAACTTTCAAAAAAAAAAAAACAAAACAAAAAACCATGAGCATTATTTTTCCACCTTCAGATTGGGTTTTGCAAGAACAACTACAGCTAAGGGGATAGTTGGTTTGCACAAAGAGGTTTAAAAAAACATACATCGAAGTTTTACATGTACACTCAGAAGGAGAGGGCTGCTTCCACATTTCAGCACTGAACCATCACACACCTGGCTGCTCTGTCATCTTGTCTCACCTTCCCCAAGCAGGCTCTCTAAGGAGGCGCTAAGCACAAAAGGAGACTTCAAAAGAAATGAAAAGTTTTCTTTGTCCTCTTAAGGAAACATTTAATGATTGCCTTTACCCCACTTTCAACCTGGACTGCCTGTTCTTTATTCTCTGGGCAGGTGCTGAGAGATGAGGCTTTAGTGAGCAGACTGATTAAAAACAAGTATCGGATGTTTGGAGACAATGTGTAATACGACAACCAACACTCATGGCATCACGTGAGAAATATAATTAAGAAGATTGCTCTGTGACTATGCTGTTACAATTTTGAGCCTTGCATATTACAATTAAAACCCATTTGTCTTCTAAATGGCAGGCTAAATTCTGCTTTCTGCTTTACCAGTGTGAAATCAAAAGCAATTATCTGTACGTTAACAGCACTATCTTGAATTTATGGTAGTGGAGACTGAATTTGAATCTATATTCACTTTCTCTAAACTATCCTATAAATACTAATATATCTTCTCTCTTTGTTTTTTTTTCTAAGCACACACAGAGAAAGTTGATTAGAAACAAGTTTCACAGGCAAGAACAATTGTTGCACGTCACAACTTTGGCTATTTCTGCAGGGTCTTAACTTTCCAGATGCTCTTGGATTTGAAATCTGGAGCTTGAGCCGTGACGAGCCTGTGCAAAGTCTGCCCACTTTCCCTGAGCTGCAATTATATGATCCACGTGCAAATGAGCTTTCAAATCACTCTCAGACCATTTGTTCTAACAGCTCCACATCCCCCAACCCCACACGTCCTGTGCATAAACTACCTACTGTATCTTGAGCTTGTCTGTACTATAATAGGATGAAGACTTGAGGAGGAGGAACGTCGTCTAAAAGAGGTGCGTAACAAGGCAAAAAGTAGCTCTAACAGAGTAGCAACATCACAGGAACAGAGAGAGGCATTGTTGCAGGCCAAGTAATCCTGTGACACGCTACTGTCAGTCATAGCTTGACACCCTGCTGGGCCAGCAAGACATCAAAGCCCACCCCATACCATCTTACATGCTCTTTATCGGCTAATCAGGCTATTCTTCCTGAAATAAAGCTCCGTTAAATCCCCTGCTCACAGGGGCATTCCCATCCTGTTGCCCATCTGCTGGTGAGGGTCAGCTGAAGCAGGAGGCAGATCAGCGGCCTGTCCCTGGTGGCTTCTCAAAGCAGGACAATGCAGTCTTCAACTTTTTATTTTAAAATCCCTTCTTCCCCTTGCTTTTTTTGTTTGTTTGTTTGTTTGTTTTGTTTTCCAAGATACGTACATGGCAGGAGATGTCACCAGCCCAGAACAGTTATGTGGATTAGTGATTTAATTGCACGGCTAGCATTTGCTAATGGAGTCTGCAGCAACAATTACATGGGAAGAGTCACAACTGATACTGATAAAAGAAAAAAGAATTTCCTCCTTCAAATTATTGCAGTGATTTTACTGGCAAGCCAGAGGTTCGCATCCTGCCATTGTGCTAGGGAAGACAGCGAGCCCTCAACATTGTAATCTCGAAAAGGAGGATTATCTATTCTGTGGAACCAATTTAAACTAGCTAGGGTCAGACATACTAAGCACCTTCAGCTCCATTTCAGGCGGAGAAGAGGATTCAGGGCTCTGCTCCTCCAGAAGCGTCAGGGAGTCTCAAATTCCTCACACAGGAAAGGAATACCCAGGAACAGCCCTGTCCACACACCAAAGGGGACAGAGCTGTGACTCCGGGTTTGCTACAGACTCTTCCTGCGAGAGATCGCACGTGATTTTGCAGAAATGCTTTTGCCAGAACTGCAGGCAGCAGAGCACAAGTTTGTAGTAGGAACATTTCTACCAACAGAACTGCCTTTTGATTTGGGCTTGTACTTACATAACTACAGTCAATCATGTAATTAATAACTAAAAAAATACACTGCAGTCCTCCCTTTTCCTTCAGGTACTAAGCTAATGTCTTCTTAGGGAGAAGAAGAAGTAGTCCAAGCTGCAGCTGACCATTCTGAGAGGATGGACACAATTTGTCCCATGGCAAATCTTACAGCCAGGAAACTGCTGGTGGAACTGCAGGAGAAAGCCTACAGAAGACTGCCTGTGTAGTGTAGAAAAGGTGATAAAAAAGGCCAGAGGAGGCCACAAAAGGCCTTTAAAGGCAGTAAGACACATATTTTACTCCTGATGCAGTGGTATTTGTCAAGGCCAGGGTGGAAGAGACTATCTTGTGAGATAAATCAGGACTCATAGAGCCTTGCTCATAATGCACAGGACAGTCAATTTCAAATTTTAGAAGCGAAAATATTAATTTCTCTGCTATTTCCTTGAAGCTTTTATCATCCCATGCCCTACAGCAACAGCAAGCACTTATGAGCACAGCTGTATTTGCAAGAGCCTTTCCCCAGACAGGGATGAGGACAAAGAGTTGCTAAGGCAGTTGATCCCAAGCCAGGGATCATAGCTCTCTGTAGGACCATGTGGCTGAAAGCGGGAACGTGAATGGAAAAGGCCTGACAGCTTCTACTATGGAGGTGCTTGGCCATGACAATAGGACTGCTGCTGGAGCTCTAGCAACCAACACCTGCACCAGAAAGAGAGCCACTGCAATATATGGGAAGTCTCATGCTTTGCTCTGGAACACTGCCTGTACCCTTCCTCATCCTTCAAGGTATTGCTCAAGTGAAGTATAAATAAATAAATATAAGGCTGTTTCTGTTCATAAGACTCATAGAAGATGGTGCTTTTCAAGTGCTCAGAAAATGGAAAAGCTGCAGTAAAATCTAGGCTAGTCTATGTAGGTGTATGTCCACACTTAGCAGCTTCCTTAAAAAAAGCTTTTTTATCAGAAGTCAAACTATAAAGTGAACTGCTTGGGGTTTTTTTGTTTTTTGGTTTTTTTTTGTCTTTTAAAATTGAATTCCCACTCAAATGTTCAACCAAGGTGGTTTAATGAATGTAATTTTTAGGCTCTCTAAAGCCATTAGAAAAAAGGGTAATGAAACAACAGCTCAGAGAGCAATGCAACCTAAGTCGAGGACTTAACATGATTTAGCCTCTTGGGAACAACCACACATGACCTGCCCATAGCAGGGGGGTTGGACCAGATGATCTTTGAAGGTCCCTTCCAACCCAAACCATTCTATGATTCCTGGAACAAGAAAAGCACACTATAGCTTGTCATGTGGTGTTCCTCAGCTCAGGAACATCAAGTTGGCTTACCTTTTTGGTCTTGGTTTGGTTTTCTTCTTTGAGCCTGCAGTTGGAAGAGCAGTCAGGTTCTGGGGGGCATCTCTCAGGCCAAAGCTCTTGGCCACGTGACCCAGGTGGAGAGATTTAATGTGGAAGATGTGCTTGAGGTTCCTGGGATAGGTGGTATAGGCACAAAGGAAAGACTGCAGTGCTGAGGGGGGAAAGAAAAAAAAGTTAATTCTGTTTGCTACTGCATTTTTATATATACACATACTTAAAGATTCAGCTGTTCCAGCTGAAAGGACATTGGTCTTGTCCTTTGGGACACCTTCTGGTCAGCAGCTGGTAGAAAAGGTTGGTATGTTAAAAATCTGTGAAGGTTGTATAGTACTAGTACAATCCCAAAAGGAGAAGGTAGGTGGTGGAGAAGCGTTAGGAACTGAAACAAAGCTACATTAAGTTGCATTAGGTTTGCCTCTTGCAAGGATGCCCCTTTTCCCAGAAAGGGCGATGTTTCTAGCACTTCTGACAAGAAGAGTCACTGACATCAAATGGCAGCAGATAAGGGGACAGAGGGAACAGAGATACAGGGATGAAGAGAGGGAA